GCAGTGGCAGTGGCAGTGGCAGTGGCAGTGGTAGTGGCAGTGGTAGTGGTGGTGGTAGTGGTAGTGGTAGTGGCAGTGGCAGTGTTAGTTATAGTGGCAGTCTTACCTCAGGTGTGATATATTCAAAGCTCAGTTGAACCTCTCCGCTTTTGGTGTTGCTTAACTTGAACCAGTGCTTCGTTTCCTGCTCCTGCACAGCAAAAACCATGAACAATACATTATATGATCATGTAGGGTGGGGGGTGGGGAATGAGCTATAGTTTTTTTTWAAGATAAGGTAATCGCACTAGTCTATCAGGGTAAAATCCATCAATCTGTGAGTTAGCCGTGCCCTGACTTAGATCAGCCCAGACGTTGTTTCAGGGTTTGATCTGTGAGTTAGCCGTGCTCTGACTTAGATCAGCCCAGACGTTGTTTCAGGGTTCTATCTGTGAGTTAGCCGTGCTCTGACTTAGATCAGCCCAGACGTTGTTTCAGGGTTCTATCTGTGAGTTAGCCGTGCNGACGTTGTTTCAGGGTTCTATCTGTGAGTTAGCCGTGCTCTGACTTAGATCAGCCCAGACGTTGTTTCAGGGTTCTATCTGTGAGTTAGCCGTGCCCTGACTTAGATCAGCCCAGAGGTTGTTTCATGGTTCAATCTGTGAGTTAGCCGTGCCCTCACTTAGTTCAGCCCAGAGGTTGTTTCAGGGTGCGATCTGTGAGTTAGCCGAGCTCTGACTTAGATCAGCCCAGACGTTGTTTCAGGGTTCTATCTGTGAGTTAGCCGAGCTCTGACTTAGATTAGCCCAGAGGTCGTTTCAGGGTGCGATCTGTGAGTTAGCCGAGCTCTGACTTAGATCAGCCCAGAGGTTGTTTCAGGGTTCTATYTGTGAGTTAGCCGTGCTCTAACTTAGATCAGCCCAGACGTTGTTTCAGGGTTCTATCTGTGAGTTAGCCGAGCTCTGACTTAGATCAGYCCAGAGGTTGTTTGAGGGTTCTATCTGTGAGTTAGCCGTGCTCTGACTTAGATCAGCCCAGAGGTTATTTGAGGGCTCGATCTGTGAGTTAGCCATGCCCTGACTTAGTTCAGCCCAGAGGTCGTTTGAGGATTCAACTCGTGAGTTAGCCGTTAGTTTAGATACTATCTAAAAAATTCGATAAAAATTTAGCCAGCCGGCCAGCCGAACTGGCGGTTCTTGGATACATCACACACCTTAGTCAGTTCCTTCAGCTGTGAGGCGCTGAACACAGAACTTCCCATCTTCTCCTGTGATAAGGCATCTTTGTCCCACACATCCTGAGGAAACAAAACAATTTAGCTATCGAACGGACGGACGGACAGACGGACGGACGGACGTACGGACGGACGGACGAACGAACGATAAGAGAACGAACGAACGATTGAACGAACGAACGAATTGACACCGTTTGATGCTATTTTTAGAATCACATTTGCCATTGTTTGTTTTTCTGCACGCGCGTACTGCGCTCGCTCTATACTGCTTGCTCACATTTAAAAAAAAAAAACACAATTAAGAAAACAAGAGCACAAGAGGGTAGAGCGTGCAGAAAAACAAACGATCAAATGAATGATTCTAAAAATAACATTAAAGATTCTAAAAATAACATCAAAGAGTGGTCACGATGGGGCGCGGGGATTCCTTCTCTTAGTTCATTTTCTCTTGGTTCCCTACTCACCAGTATGATTTGCTCGCTATCGCTTGGCATCGATATTGTTGCTGTTTCACTCCACACAGGATTGAGGGTCTTGCTTTGGACTTTGCTTCGAAACTTTTCTGTGCCGTCGTCGGTTCGCAAGGTAACGAACGGATCGCTTTTACCTTGAACGAACAAGCAAAACTTAGCAATGCAAAGTACCACACCATGGAAGTGTGAGTGTTGTGTTTACCTGCTACCTACCATCTATATAATTACTTATAATAACTGATAAAGGTACGTCAACATCATTTTACTGGACCAAATGAGTGGGGTTGCACAGTACCCACCACATCTGGAGGTAAAATGTTTAAAAAATCTTTAAAACGAAAAGTTAAATCGCAAGGAATAAATTGACTGTTTGCATGTATGGTAAACAACAAATATGTGTATAGAAAGAGTCTTTACAGTCACCCAGTATCGAATATTTCAACAGGTATCTCGGGGATGGGAGGCAAGGGGGTAGATGGTCTTAATCTGTGCCATTGTTTTGACCTCGCTATATATACTACAACTACCAGAGTCCCTTGCGCACGTATTATAGGTTAATAAGTTACAGTTGCCAATAGACGTATTTTACGACACTCTCATAATCACTCAGCCCAGACAGCGAGGTATAAGATATCTGGGTTTTTAGCTTTCTTCCTTCAAAATTTCCAACATTCTTTTTCATTGATTGATGCGTTGGTCGCGCAATAGTCCCTTTTCTTATTCGGGAAATACCACTGTGTTTTACGACTACAGACGCATTCCCACAGGTTTATCCTCGTTTAACAGTAAATCATTTGCAAAAGTCAACTGTAAAGAATGTAAAGAATGTGCAAGTTGAACAATACCAATGTTTTGAAACCTCACAGACTTTTATTGGTATCTGTGAATAGCTGACTTATAAACGAGGCTAAGCCTGTGCAAATGAGTCTGGGGTCTTCAAAAACAGCCGTATGCATCGTACGCGAAAGTGATGGGTATTATTTGTTAAGTATATTGGTTGACAGGCCATGTATGACGTCACGACTGTCGCGCCTTTAGCACGAGATGTGTTGGGCAATTAAGAGAATCGTTTTGCAGTTCACTCGAGTTGTTGTTGCTTTACTCGTTTTCTAAGAACCTATATTATTGTCTTCAATACAAGACATTATTATATTAAATTGTTGTCCGTAATTAGTAAGACTACTATTTCAGTATATTGTTTGTTACCTGTAAGGTCCATGGCTACTAGGTTACGACCACGGTGGATGCTGATGCAAAGAGCTCCGCGTTCTGCTCAGGAAGAAAACATAATGTAACCAAGTTGAAAACTGGTTGAAAACAAACTGGTTGAAAACATACTGGTTAAAGGTTTATTCGAGTTTGTTGCGTTACGTTTGTACTAGCCATATTTGGAATGATGATGTAATTGATCACGCAACAGTATTCGTCTGAAGAATAAATCAGTTCTGCTCCAGATTTTGTGGTGTTTAGTTGTGTTTTTATTTAGTTCAATTTTATTTTCCTGCGACCTATCTTGGAAAAGACCTGCAATGAGTTTCATCACTCTTGCCGTTTAACATCCACTTGGTCACAATGACATCAAACTTTAGAAAAAAATCTAATAAATAAGAACTATTATAAAATGGCGGTTTGTGTGGTCGGGAGCTGAATTGAAGAAAGCTTCCGCACCTTTTCATTCTCTATATCCTCTTACCTGCCATGAGCAATGCTTCCATGAATTTCAAATCCACTTTTAGAGATTTCTTTAAATGCAAAAAATGAAGATTAGGAGCACATCAACTAGAAAGAGTGACTGACAACAAACACCTAGTCCAGATTGTACGTATTTATTGTCTTACGCTCGCAATCTTAGTTTAGTACAAACTTCCTTATATATAAACTCATTGTGAAAAATCTCATTCCTATGCATCTTTGCGCGCCCGCGCGCGTTGATTTGGATCAGAACGAACATAACTGTAAACAGAAATAAAAGTGGATCCATTTCTGGAGTAAAAGACACAAGGCAATGTACCAGATTCACATTAGATATGCATACCGCTGTTTTTGAAGACTACAGACTCATTTGCACAGGCTTAGCATTAAAAGTCTGTGGGATTCTTTACATAAAAGTTGACATTTGCAAATGATTAACTCTTAAGCGAAGCTAAGCCTGCGGAGATGAGTCTTAAGTCTTAATACACAGCGGACTATAGACAGAGGGACGGAATTTAAGACAGCGAGGCAGACAAATTAACAGACTTCTGTCTAATTCGAAAATAGGAGGGATGGGAAAAAAGAAAGAACGAAAGACCAGACAGACAAAGGACGAATAGACTGACAGCTGACAGACAGATGACAGACCTGTGCAAATGAGTCTATAATCTAGGAACACAGCGGTAATTTGGAATTCGAAACTGGTCTATTCATCGGATCATCAACCGTCTTACCTCATCTACTGGTTGTCCCTCTGGAAAGCCACCAGGTACTTGAGGCTTCCCTAAAGTTAAAAAGATAAAGCAAACCTACTTAAAATCAGCTCAGCTACCATTTCACTGTTACGATAAGGTCGTACTGTGTACGTGCAGTACCGTATGTTGCCTACTCATATACGAAAACACTCTAGTTGTTACGGCATGTCGTACCGTGTACGTGCTGTAAGTCAGTACCGTACGTTGCCTACTTATACGAAAACACTCTAGTNACGTGCTGTAAGTCAGTACCGTACGTTGCCTACTTATACGAAAACACTCTAGTTGTTACGGCATGTCGTACCGTGTACGTGCTGTAAGTCAGTACTGTACGTTGCCTACTTATACCAAAACACTCTAGTTGTTACGGCATGTCGTACCGTGTACGTGCTGTAAGTCGGTATCGTAAATGTGCTACTCGTGCAATAGCTTCTCTTTTGCACCATCTGGACACAATCACGATAGGATCATTATGTAACGCACGGTTTTCGCGGTAATGTACTTACAGGATTTGCGTATTGATGCAACAGGCCTGAAGACCACAGACACGCACAGTTTTCCTGATGTTTTCATTGAACTTTTAAGCTTGTAAAGGAGATGAAGTTCCTTCCTCAAAATCACAGGCGAATCCTACACGGGACACAATGAAAACAAAATGGCTCAGGATGAATGTAATTGTAATAATAGCCTATATCTAGCTTGGACGTAATGTTTTCTCTTTTTAGAACACGTGTCATTCTCTAGAGTACCATGTCTTCGTTTGCGGTTGCGCATAAGAAGACACAACCGTCAAACAAAAAATCAAATTCTTTTCAAACCTTTGACAATTTCAGATTGCAAGAGCCAAGGAAGTCGTCGTCATCATCTTTTACTCTCAACGCATTCTCGTCTTTGTCGTGAACCAGGAAAGACAACGTCACCTGAAATGGGGTTGATTACGTCACACTCGACAACCAATCAGCACGCGAGTTATTCTTATCATAGCTAGCAATCTGATTGGACTAACATTTATTGAAAGATGAACTCTGATAATTTTCCCCTGGTGTATGAGATAGTATGGGATGATAGGATAGCATAGAATGGAATGGAATAGAATGGAAGGGAAGGGAAGGGAATGGAATTGAATTGAATTGAAGGGATAAAATTGGATTAACTGATGCTTTTAGATAGGATGGAAGGCGAGGAGTCATTTCATATTAGATTTAGGTGCACGAAGGATTACGAAAGAGGCTACGATAACTACGACATGTTGTGGAAAATTTCGCAGTAATCTAGCTAAACAAACCAACCTGAGAAACATTAGCCACAGGAAATTCTGCCATTGAGTTCCAAACAGGATCAAGAGTTTCCTTGACGACATCTGTTTTGTTGACCTGGAGATGAACAAATAAACAGATGGTAAAGAGAATAGAATAGAAGTTAGAATAGAATAGAACTTTATTTGTGCCCTCTGATTTGCAAATTGATTATTAATTATTTTGAAGATTACAATAAAAATTTGAGGAACCACTTGCTACCTAAAAATAGCAATGCTAATCAAGTTAGGTAGCAAATTGGTCATTTGGTACTGTTTGATAATTGTTACAAGAATAAGTATAGAAATAGGAAAATCCAAAAACAAATGCAATTAGATTGGAGTAAAAAATAATAATAATAATAAAGAAAGTAATAATAATAATAATAATAAAGAAAGAGAAAACCATAAAGGAAAAGAAGGAAGAAACCATGGGCAAAGAGTAAAGTGCATCAGAGTAACTAGTAAGTTTTTAAAATTTGATTTATTAGTTTTTTAAAACTTGAACGTTTAGTTCTTTTTAATTCATCTTTGATCTTGTTTTAATAAAATAATTGGGATACTACGCGCGCTATGATTGGTCGAAAACCATGTTTGATGAGAGTATCAAAACATGCTACCGTCATTTTTAATCTATCGCGCGCGCTCATTGGTCAGTTTGAATAAGACTGCACGTAGGGAGAATTTACTTAGACTTTGCTTTTTTCCGATCTTTTCGCGCTGTTTTTGATCTGTTAACCAAGTAATGGCACCGATAGAGACAGATAGACAAATGAACAGGCAGGCAGGCAGACAGACAGACAAACAAGCAGGAAGGCTGACAGACAGGTATTAAAAAAGGTATTTATCATCGTTGGCAAGGTCAAAGCCCTTCTGGTCTTCATGCGTGAACTAGGATCTTTGACTTACTAGCGATCGGTTGGCGTACACCAAGCAGTAAGGGTCACTCAAGCCGTTCTTGTCCATAGGAATCAAGCTCACACCGCTGTGTACGACCACAAGAATAACACCAGAAACTACAATGCAAAATTTGTATAGTTTAATCGTAGAAGATCTTTTTAAAAGGGGTTTTCTTTTACGAAAAACATAACCTTCAAATTTTATCGATACCGCCCGAAATACTGACTTCTTAGCTGATCTAAGCCAGGGCATGGCTAACTTAAAGAATGAACCCTGAAATAGCCTCTGGATTGATCTAAGTCAGGGCACGGCTAACTCATAGATCGAACCCTGAAAAAACCTCTGGGCTGATCTAAGTCAGGGCATGCCTAACTTGACTGAAGACTGAACCCTGAAACAACCTCTGAGCTGATCTAGGTCAGGGCACGGCTAACTCACAGATCGAACTCTGAAACAACCTCTGAGCTGATCTAAGTCAGGTCATGGCTAACTCACAGATSGAACTCTGAAACAACSTCTAAGCTAATCTAAGTCAGGGCTAATTCACTGATCGAATTTGAAATTAAGCGTGTTAGGTTTTCAGTAGGGAATAAACCTGTAAACCCCTCGAATCAAGAGAGATATCTCATAGACTCTACTGTCTTACATGTGGTGACGAGTCGCCAATCTGACCCCAGGGTTGAGATCGATACGAGTGTACTACTGCTTAAGCACCATTGATTTCTTACTAATTTACCTTCCTCCTTTGCTTCTGGGACAGTTAGAATATTTTCTTTTATATTCTTCACAACTTCTTCCCTTTTTTCGTCCGTGWTCAGTTCCTCTTCAGCAGGAATGCTGACCAAAGGTAACGCGTTGTAGGTGAAGTTCACTTTAAGTGTCGAGCCCTTGGAGCTTTCTTTTTCAAAAATCTTCTCTCTGAAGAAACAAAACGGTTACAGCATCTTTTTAAATTTTTGTTACGTCGTGATATGAGGAGTCGTTGCCGAGTCTTCGAAATGGCTATATTGACCCATAGGCCATAAGGGCGGGAGGCTAATTGTTTTAGTCAAATCAAACTAGTGGGTCAAATATTCAGATGCAAACAATTTTGAATTAAAGTTAAATTTAAGGTTTTGGTCGGCCCTTATCGCTACTAGTAGGCTATAACTTATAGCCTAGTTGTACCTCATCCAATCAGAGCCCAGCATTGACGATAGACCGCTTGTTGGATTTGACTAATTGCTACGTATATAAGACACACGATGCTCACACTACCGCACAGCATTTACGGTTGTTCTAAATAGCACGCACGGAATTAAATCGTCGTCGCGGTGAAGTGAATGTGGACGTCAATCATGACGTTACCATGACATTCAATAGGCACGTGCCAGAGGAACACTTTGATTGACGACACGTCCAACAAACCTATTTTGTCGAGAAGACAAACTGCACGATTCTGCGAATGCTATTTCATTGAGAACAGCTGTAATATTCTAAACACGTGTTGGTATTTACGGAGGGAGGAATTTGGAGAACCAAGAAARAATCCTTTGTTTCAAGCAGGAAAAACCTACAATATGAAACAAACCCTCACATGTGCGGGCACGTGGCATTCGTAGGAATCGGATCCATGCCTCGGCCCGACCAGTAGGACTCACATTGGTGACAGGCGAAAAAACGTCAGCTATTACGCCAACCTTAAACCAGTTAATTTAACAGGGTATTATCATAGGTTATAAAGTAGTACGTAAATATTTGAGGTTATTGACATACTGTTCGGAACTGGTATCCAGGTAAAGTCGAGCAAGTGGCATGTCATACTGCGTAACTGTGTACTTGGTCCCAAGCTTGCGCTTTCCTTTAATCTTGATCGTCAGCTGATAAAGAAAGAAAATCCAGTGATGGCGATAAACGAGGGAGCAAGAGAAAACACCTTAAGACCGATTTACAAGGTAAAACTTTTCCATGCACTAGTATCGCACACAAAAGACTTAGGACATGTTTTAGCGGTTAACTACACGCGCGCAACCCTTAGCTAACGACACCATAAACTCCTGCGCAATCCACCTTTTCGACGCTAGCCGTCACGGGGTATAAATTGTTTTAGATTGTGTTACGGTCACCAAGAAGTTCGGACATTGTTCTCGGATTTCCGTACAAATTACTGACTCTAAATGAACTATTTACTTGGTTAATGTTTAGTTAGTTCTCTAAATACAAGTAAATGATCATTTTTCTAGCTTGATTGAAGCTTTTCTTACTGCTGTTAAGATAGCTAACTAACGAAATCTACCTAAATTTTCTTTTTAAACTCAGTGAATTTGTATGGAAATCCGAGAACTATGTCCGAAAAGTTGAATTCTCTGCATCTTTACTGAAATACTCCTTGTGACGGCAATTATACGACAGCTCGCCATCTCTTACTAGCTTATCTGTTTCTTTAAAGTGTATATGACACGAAAACATTTCATCGTTTAAAATGTATAGTTTGTTAATAATAATAAATATGTCGTAATAAAATTTGTTTCAAAAGCTTATTTCTTGAGATATGTTAGAAAATTAAGCCCAATTTGTGACGTCATTTTGTTGACACGTACTCTAGATTCGGTAGTAATGCACTAAATATAAATTGTAATTCGYATAAAATAACAACAAAAGGCATATTCTATTCAGCTTTTATTTGATAGCTTACGTAGTACTCTTCAAATGTTGGGAAACTGAAAAGTGTACTACCTGAAATTAAGATTCTACATTCAAACATATTCCGTGTATTTGCAACTAAATCTGGAGACTTGTAAACAAAATGACGTCACAACGCGTGCTAAATTTTCTTGAATTTCTAGAGAAGTACGTTTTTGGAACAAATTTAACCGTGATATTCTTATTAGTGCCAATAAACTACACATTTTTAACATTAGAATTTTTTCGTGTCAYATGCACTTTAAAGAAGTAAAGGTTTTGACCTTTTTCTCCATATTTWAAAAAAAATAACGCTTCGTTTCTAATTCGGCATTGCTTTTTGATTATTACGAAATTATGAAATTACTATTTAATCAAATAACAACTATTAGACGATAAACGTTTTGTCTCCTTTTATCATTTGCGTCAAGTAAACATAAACTACTAATTTAGACGCCATAGACGCCATCTTGGAAATATGTCCCTAAAATAGCCCCACGATGCACTGCAATGCCAACTCGACCCAGTTTCTTCCTCATCCTCGTAATAACTAATAATTTATCGTACCCTGTCATAATGAAGATTATGCACCAGCAAGGACACGTGATCACTCCAAGGACCGTCTGACGTCACATCCTTCGTATTGATCTTTTGGTTGCCAAGCGACACCACGCACCAATACGGATCATCTAAATGAAAAAACCACATTTATTTAAGTATGAACATTGGTAATAGGTAAATTACGAGCCTTGTATGAAACGACTGAAGAAGAGTGCCAATGTATGGTCCTTTTACAACTTCAAGTCGCGTAAAATATGAGCCAGCTCAACTAGAAACCGTCGACAGCTGTTTCGGCCTGTATTGGGACTCGTCAGCACGGTATATCTAGTGAGCGGGTAGAATCCCACGAAAAGTAGTCCATAATAGATGAGGCAGTAAGCCATGTGGGATGGGCCTGGAAATCATATAAGAACATGCGTATTGCGTAAATGCGTCTCATTTATTCAAGTAATGATTTATGCACCTATAATTTCCTAAAAATGTTGTCATAGCCAAAGGTGATAGAGGTATTTGGGATTCAAAAGCAGGTCATTCCAAGATCCAAGAATAGCTAGAATGACTTGTTCCTCTTTTCATTGTTCACGGAATAAAGGACGAAACCATTTAAACACCTCCATTATTCGTCTTWTTTGTATCCCCATACTCCTCACCTTTGACAGTATTAGAACTAACCTGTTGGACGCTCATCCATTCCTCCGCTGATGGAAAGTGTTAGAACACCACAAGCTACGTGAAAAAAGTAAAATTGAGAAACATACTCAATAATTTAATTTTTAATTTGATTTTCTAGCACAGTGGACTGAAAAACTAGTATTTAATTTCGCCCGCACATGACCGCACATGTGCATGTACGATCAAAAGAGGAATATAGGATTCTAGTAAGATAAAATTTGTTGAAGCTGCACATTCTCTTACCGAATTCCGATCCTCTTGCGACTTCATCTGGGTCGTCACATAACGGAATGTAAATCCTGTCAGGATCCACTAATGCTAGTAAAAACAAATATGGAGAAGGGTTTTTACGTATCGTATRAATATAACTGCATGGATTTTAATATTGTGATGAGAGCAACTATTAAAAACGTTTCTACCTTTGTGCACCTTTCTATATGCATTAGAATGGTTTTCTAGATCACTTGAGCACTTCAAGAGTTTTGATAATTGCAGCACTATAGAATGGTTTACTGAACGTGCATAGCTTGTGTGCAGCTGATTGCAGCACTGAAATGGTTTACTGGACGTACATAGCTTGTGTGCATCTGATTGCAGCACTGAAATGGTTTACTGGACGTGCATAATGTGCGCGCGCCCCTAAAACTTTCATCTTAGCAGTAATACTTACAAAGTTTGAGAGTGTCGTTTACCATCTGACTGACCCATTGCCTCACTAGGGGAACATCCATGAGTTGGACAGCTTTGAGCATTCGGATGTCGAACAATACCTGAGGTCTGAAAATTTATGAAGCACATTGTTTTCCCGTGTTTGTTGTTTATACTCCTAATCGGCTCGATCGGTCGTAATGTTTTCACATTTCAGGCCACGTGTCATTCCCTTGAGAATAAGATTCTTTGTTTGAATTGTATCTATATTCATGCATGTCTTCTCGTGTGCAACCGAACGCAACTGTTAAACRAAGAAATGGTACTCTAGGGAATGACACCTGGTCTGAAATGGGAAAACAAAATTGCTCATATCTCTTAAGCTACGCCATAGCTATTAACACGTTGGAAATAAACCTCCATAACTAAAAGAAACGACCCTCAAATGATGTAGTATTTCCACAATCAACTAGCAACTATAGCTAACTAAACAATCAATTCTAAAAATATCGTATGAAGGCCTGTATTCCCTGTGAATCCTTTAGGTCTTGGAATGCCTTACTTCACTTAACTTCTAACTCCCTTGACGGCTAGAGCTTTTATAAATGTGAAGTCAATCTTATGGAAGACGACTTCCGGGTCCAAAACGAAAAAGCAATCTTATAAAGATGTTTCTTACTTTTTCTTCATGACAAAGTTTGTTGTCCAAAGTTCTAATTATTTCGATTATGGAGATTAAATCATTGAGAACATGTTTTGCAATATTTTAGCGGTTTTTACGAGCAGTTGGACACGGAAACATGTCACGACTTCAGAGCTCTAGAGAAGTAAACACCTACTCTTGTAAGAAGCAAAATGACAGCGATGCCAGGTGAGGGAAAGGAATGTTTCGGTTGAACTGTAGAACCACTTGCATCTTGCCATTGATGTGGAAGTCTTCTACTGCGATATCTGTCTCCGTTGCAAGACGACTGAAACAGATAAGTATAGGAATTCGCACGATCTCGAGTACAATTCGGAATTTATTAAAGTTTTCAAAATTGGCCAACTGCACGAGTCTTTAGGCGAGAAACAAAACATCACGAATATCTATAAATTCCGAATTGTACGAGAAGATTGTGTGATTTTTTGTTTATAATACACTCAAAAAAATGGAGCAACTTAATAGGGACTCTACAGAGTACAATTTGGGATTTAATTGTACTCCTCTTGTCCAATCAGAATCGAATAATTTTGTTACTGTATTATAAGATGTGGAATTGTCGCATTGGTACGTAAGAGGCAGCGAACGCCAATATATAATGAATTTCGGGTAAGATAAGTAAATGATGAAAACGATAAAAACAATATGAATTACCTAATATGCTCATCAAATGCGCAAATACGTTATGTTAGGTGGTCTTAATTGAAGTCGTGCATTGTTTGCTTTACCGTTGGTATTTGTGAATTTTTTTGATGCACTATTAAATAAGACTAACCCTGAGGAGTGAGCCTGTAATCAAGGAACAAATCAATATTGTCCGAATACAAAAAGGTCTCGTAATAAACGTGCAATGAGAACGCGCCACACATAGTTTTTAGACGATCTAATTAGCCCCCTTCGCAGTTCCCTGCGCTATCTTGAAAGATAGGCGCGTCTTTGCATCAAAGCGAGACGAACGGTGAGCTTGCAATATGATAGAGACTTGGACAATAGACCTTAATCGTGGTGTGACAATGTTTTCCCAACTCAGCGTGACAAACCTCCAGGGAATTCATTTTCGTTTGTTTTTACTCTTCGAAAAATTCATCAGTATCCCAAAGGATACGAAAGGAATAACGATGATATCCCGACGAGTTTCAAAACAATAGTCTTCATTCCCCTAGAGGTTTGTCACGCTGAATTGGGAAAACATTGTCGCACCACGAATAAGGTCTATTAAGTTCTATTCACGTCTCTTTTATTGCAAGCTCCTTTCAAGATGGCACAGAGAACTGTGAAGGGGACTATAGAGCGTTTTCACGTGACGTCACAGCGGCCATTATGGGGTACCAAAACAATACATTTTCTATCCTCCGGGAATTGAACTCTATTTTTATGCAAATACTGTGCAGAAAGTTTCTATTGTTTATGGCTGCCTTCTCACGTGAGTGAAAACGCTCTATTGTTAACAGAGCCAGCAAACCAGCTTTGCTGAACTGGGCACCTCCGTATAGATATTGTTGATAAATAAGTAAATAAATATTGTTACCCATAATCTCCCTTTCTTCAATCGTTACATACCCTTTATTTCCCAGTCTTATTCGCAGCACAAAACGTGCATCTGGTGACGCCAGCCCAATATCCAGGTCGAGAACCACTCGGTACGTCTGCCTGGTCATGAGATCCTCTGGTGGCTGCCTCATACTAAAGGCTGTAGYGCGCAGCTTTTGGAGGTCATCGAAGCTGTCATAAGCCTTGACATGTTTGATGTACGGTGTTCGTGTACCAAGCGTGAAGTCGCTTACCTCTATTGAACCTGAAAGTCAGTAGGGTTTTTAGGTTGTGACGTATTTCCGGGTCCAAAATCACACAAAAGATCGCTAAAATCTTACCACAACTTGAAACATTTGTATTTGGCGCTTTTACATGGCAAAACAAATTTATACAATAAAAAATATTCCCTGAATATGTCATTGAAGGTGCGAGCTAACTGGATTAACCTAAAAAACAACACCACCACCACCAMCAACAACGACGACGACAACATCAACAAGAAAAATAGCAACAGAATAGCAACAACAACAACAACAACAACAACAATATCAACAGCAACAACCTCTTACCAATAAAGGATGGAAGATTAGCCTCAAGCAAGGGATCAAGACTGTTTTTAATCAGCAGTAAAAGAGATTCGTCGCTATGAATTATCCTGAAAAACGAAAGCACAAATAGACCTTATTCGAATTCGTAAATATTAGCGCTCTATTATCCTTGATTCCATCAGTGTTAGCCTGATTTCAGTGTCAAAAATATTCATAAATACCAACAGTAAAGTAAAGAATGCATACTCAACAATCACAAAAACTTTCGGAAATTTTCACGGACCTTCACTGGAACACATGAATATTCATCGACTTAACTCGAGGCTAGCTAGCCCTGAGCAACAGAGAGAATTCGAAACCAGAGTTWTCCGTGGCCTTGGATGACAAGCAGATAAATTAATAAAAGAACAGAATAATTTTTTTTTGAAAATTGACATACGTTTCCGGAAGAGATATAACTAGCTAAAAACTAGTGTGAGCTGCGTCGGTGTTTCTAATGAACCAATCAATTGACCAATCAGTGATCTTTATCTAATTATGTTTCTCACGCCTTCCACGTTTACATTTGTTGCAGTTTTCCGCCCGCAATCACTGAGTCACGTGATCATACTAAAACTAATCGATAAACATCAAATAATTTAATAGACACTTTGCCAAAATGGCGCGGCCGAAAATTCAAATGAGTTAAATTAAAAACCTCTACCAGACCTAGAAACAGCACTTTTCTTGAGCAGTCCTACAAAGATTCATTATGGTAGGCGTCATGTCGGCCGAGACACATTAAGTTGAATTTACGGTCGCCATTTTGGCAAAGAGCCTATTAAAAAATTGTCAAAATGTTGCCTTTATGCACGTAGAACATCTAGGAACTTCCTGCAGAATTTCTCAAGAGGTTCGCTTAATGGTCTAATAAATTATTTATTTTTTAATCTAAATTAAARCGGTTCAGTTCAAAAGCTGATATCTCTTAAAACAGTCGCTACGACTGAATGGCTCCTATCATTTAGTTGATAAATAAGAGTGAAAAAAAGGTTTTACGATAATTAGAAAAGAGATTTCAAAGACAGTCCCACAATGGAAACGTCAATTTTTCGATTTTAGGGAAGAATATTTTAGAGGAGCAAAGGGCACGATTTTTTGAAGCTAAAAATCACCGGCTGCAGCAAGGTGATGTAGCTTGGACTGCAAGTAATAATATATTCGAGAAAACAGCTTGGATATTTATGTTTTATTCATAAACTTCTAATTGTTTTGGAGTAGAGGAGATACGATCGATGACCTGTCCTGAATATCAAGAAATTCGCCGTTTAATTCAGCTAGTTTTAATTTACTTCACAATTGGAGGTCAAATTAAAGTCGATGAATACTATTTTGTTGGTGCTGAATGCAGAGGAGCTTGAACATAGACAGACCGCCTTCATAATATTTTTGATTACAATTCAGTGACAGCTCGAAAATCCATTTTGACCGTACTGTGACGTCAAAGGCTGCTTGCTTTATTGAAATCAGCTGCAAATTGTATTGCTCGAAGAATAAACTCTTGCTTCAATAATGTACAAAAAGGAAAAAATATACAATTTAGAACTATGCGATTTTTTTATATTCTACTCACCATCTATTTAGAATAAAATTCAGCCATTCGACCGTTTCGGTGTCCTGGAATGCCCTGTCTCTACGAGCTTCTATATCAGCATCTTTACATACAACTTCCAGAAGCCATGCAATTTTGCTTCGCCACCAAATAAAAACAAGTATAATTAAAGCAAATAGCCAAAAAAATCCAAATTCAAAACGTCCAAGAAGCCATGCCAAGGAAATAAAAATTAAAATACAAGCTATAGCTCTTGTGTATTGTCGGTCTCTGAAGCTTTTACTTTCTTCCAAAACGCTGCTTTGCTCCGACTTTAAATTTTGGTTCTTCTTAATTTCTTCTTTCTCTTTCGGTTGCATTATAATTTTTTCACATTTGTTGTTCTGCATTTATGTGAAGAAGAAAGAATTAAAGAGTGAAGCTAAACTCTGTTGTACTCAGGGTTCATTCGCTTCGTAGCCAGAAAGAACTAGATTCATGTTGTGATCATTGAGCTTTGTCTGTAGTCTTCGATTCGTGACCAAATTAACTCATTTTTCATACAAGTTTTTTGTTTTGTTTTCCACCTTCATAGGTCATGAATGATTAAGCCGATCGTATGGTGTGAATCATATATCGTGAACTTTGGTTATAGCGGTTCTTACGACGAAGATTGTGAGATGAGATCAAACTTTAAATGAGCTAAAAGAATTAGTATTCAATTCTAAAATAAAAAGCGGGAATTAATGAAAACTCTTAAAAATACAATTACTGGAAGATCGCATATCATAATACTCAAAAACAAAAATGCAAAATGATTGAAATGTTTATAAGAATATATAATTAACAAAATTTGAACTTTTTCTCTCGAAACGTCTGGTCTGGTTTTTTCGATTTCAATTTCTATCAGAGTTTTCTGGTGGAGGCTGATTGACAAGTTTTTATAGCTTGTTAGATGTCTTCATCATTTTTTTAAACTGACTTTTTTATTTTGGTTGGACTGTTAAAATGTAAAAGAAATTAAATTCAGCGGAATATTTTAATATTTTTTAGATTAATATATATATAATTATGTTTATAGTATAATAGGCCGTTTTCTCAAAGTCGTGTGCGCATCCAAATGTAAGGAACTCGACGGGCCAGGATACCAGAACAAAAGTATTACCATGCATTGATATGAATTTTTTTATGATAAGAATTCATAAAATCGATTATTCTCCTCTTTATATATAAAACTGTCTTCTCAATCTTACTGAATTTGCATTTTCCAGTTTTGTGGCCCGTCAAGTTGGTTGCGCACGCAGCCTTGAGAAAGTCTATTTTAAGGAAAGTCTATTTTAGGCTTAAATATAGAGTTTCTCGAGCAATGATTGGTCGACAACCTCTTCCCCAGGGCCCGCCGCAACCTGAGAGTGCCCTGGGGACAAGGTTGATGATTGGTTGAGCGACCGGTGATTCTAAGATGTTAATCGCTTTATGAGTTTTTCCAATGTTTTCCAGATCGGAAGTAATACTAAGACGTTTTTATCCTGAATTTTGACTTCATTCAAGTCTAAAATTATACTAAAACAATTAGTATAGGTAATAGGACTACATGTCCGTCCACTTTTGAAAAAATTGAATTTAAAAAATTCCTCTGACTGCAAAATTGGACTCGGCCTATTTTTTCATTCAATTTGGAAAGGATGTAGTCCTATTACCTATACTAATTTCAAAACTCACAGGACAGAATAATTGCCATAACTTGAAATTGAATGTTAAAATCAGTAAAACTGTGAAGTTTGAAGGAAGTAAGTTTACCCGATCGCGAAGATATAAATTTTCAAAAATTAAAATGTACCTTGTATGAAAACATTCGTCGAAGGCATCTCTTGCCTACGAGCAAAGGTTTTTCTTAGAAAATTCACACTTTTCAAAAATGATATTTTCGCGAGTTCTGAACTTATATTTCCCTAAAACTTCGGTTTTACTAATGTAAAAAATCAACTTCATACAAGTTCGTTTTAATATTGTAGCACAATCACTCATAGAACAACCATCTGCAATAAAATGTATTTATTAAAGCCATTTTTATAAATTAAGTATAAATTATTACATATAAGAGATGATTTATATTTTAAAATAAATATACTGTTATCACCTATAACTTTTTTTGATAAATATCACAATGTTGTTAATATTTCAATTCCATTTTGCGTTAAATAAAGAAAACATCTTACTCCTTTTACGACTGAATTAATAATAAATAAAGTTTTCGTACGAATATTACGAGAAAAAAACTGCTAGTGTTCACTCATCACACATCAGACGTTTAATGGAGTGTAAGTGATGTAAAATGAAGAAAAATGTAATGAAAGGTTCTGTTATTTAAACTTTTTATGACAGAGATAATAAATATTGATAGTGTTTTCAATTTAATATTTTAGCAAATCACGCAGCTGTTAAAATTTATCGAGCAAAAAAGGGCCGCAAAAAAGGCAATTGTGTATGTAACTTGAATATATAATACCTAATAAAAAGTCGTACGAGGCTGGTACTTGAATATTTGCCTTGCTTTAGACACTATTGAACGCGAGCATCTGCTAAAATGTTCACCGTACGACGGGTTTGAAGTTTGAAAGATTGGCCATTCCATGCTTTCTTCTCGCAAACGGCAGATGTGACCACGTTTTTGTCACTTTTCTCGGTTTAAATCCCTTTTATTAACTAACTCACCACAAAAGATAAATGTCCTTTATTTATTTATTTATTATTTTTAGCTTGAGATTTCTTTGGTGGTTTTTCAAAATTTCCGATTTGTTTTTCGATTTTCGAAGTCAGAAGCTGAGAGTTTAGAATGAGAGCACTAAAAACCTAGTTGAAAAACTGACTTTCGACCTATTTCCCCCAACTAATTATAATTTTCATTTTGGTTAATTTATATCAACTGCACGATAATTCATCACTTCCACGTTCTTCTTCGCTTCTACTTGTTCTCTGCGCATGTCTAGAGCTACACGAAACCGTTGGCCGGATTTTTTCACCAGTTAGGTGACACTTGATTCCAGTAGACCCGGCTCCACAATCGCAGAAAAATCTAAAAGAAAACGAATAGATAAAATTTTATAAGGAATATTCAATATCCAAATTTTACGAAAGATTTATAGACCAAACTTCGTGACAGTGGAAATTCATTGTACGCATATAACGTGACGTGACGTTATATCGAACGTTTTGATTGCATGAGCCGTAATCTTGTGCGCTGTGATTGGTCCAAGGAATGTCGTCGATTCCATACCGTAACGTTCTGTTTCACAGTCATACTATTAACATAAATAATGCCACTGGACTGTGTTTTAGGATGTTTGCACGTGACGTTATCGTCGCCATGTTGGAGGTAAAAGCAAAAGATTTTTATTAGGCTCCTTACCTGTCATGTCTGACGAAGCTAACGTTGTGTCCTTGATGGCATTTGTTCACACAGCTGACACAGATAGCAAAGCCGTCAGACGTCCCACACGTATTACACCTAAGATGGAACAACGCATTATTATCATTGAGTTGTATGTTTTATTATCAAAATATTGTGATTACATGGCTTCACATGGTTCAGTGCTCAACGAGATGAGCCGACCAGAGAGATCATGGGAATCGAGGATGGTGTAGGGGTAGAGCACTTGCTTTCCATTTTTGGACTCGGCTTTACATGTGATCAAATTATGTTGGGTCTTCCTTGAGGATTTTTCTCCAGGTTATCTGGTTTCCGTCCCTCGCTCCATAAAAACGCAACACGCTGAATTCCAGTTCGACCTTTTATTATCTGTTACTTTTATTTAAACACGAGTTACGTACTGCGCATGCTCAAAATCTTATTTCCGCAGATTTATATTCAAGCTGAATCAAATAATCAGCCAGAAGTAAGGATATGAATTTGAGTCAAATCAACGTTAATCCTAGACCTCTTGCATGTCACGTCAAAGCAGCTCGATCTGGGGGACAAAACAAAAGAATTCCAATCTCCTGAGAATTGGAACCTATTGCATTGTCCCCAAAATTGAGCTGCATTCCAAAGTACTGCAAGGGGTCTATGTTTGCCAAGGGTATCAAGGATACTTACTTGTAGAAATCGTGCATTGGGTAGCAGGAATTACCAGAAACTTGAAAAAGGCACAGCCCAACATCTACAGCATCCTTGACTTCACCTCTATTGCCGTAGACTTTATTATCTGACACACAAACAACAGAAAACATATAAATAAATAAATAACCCCTCATTCTACTTGGACGTACTCAATCTCTTTGCAATCGCTTTCGGAACTTTCCTTCGTGATATCTGACTAAGAAAGTTTGATAGAAAAGCCAACTCACTGATCCAAACTATGGTGTCAACATGAATGATTGACGCTAGTCTATTGCAAACTACACGACTCGATTTGTGTCTGGGGTGGCCGCGTAGTAATGCAAACGGCGGTAAGCATGGAAACGAGTGTAAATGTTTTCTAAATACGTACTTTTAAGCTTTGGTTTGACGCCAGTGGCGAGACAAATGCCATCAAAACGATTGTTAAAAACTTCGTTGTCTTCCAGCACACCTCCTATGAGAAAAGAAATCAATTAGATCAAACAAGGTAAAACTATTTCCGTTGTTTACAAATATCAATTTAGAACTGACTTAAGATTCTATGGTTTCCTTTTTGACGTCAAACAAGGCTATCGTATAATTGATTTTCTATGTACCAAGAAGTTTTTGGTAAACAACAGCCCCAATAAACACCTTGCATGTGACGTCAAAGCAGCTCAATTTGGAGGGCAAAACAAAAACAATTTCAATCTTTTGAGAATTGAAAACCTATTATTTTGCCCTCCGAATTGAGCTTCACTCTGACGTGCTACAAGGGGTCTATTACATTGCTTCATAGCACGCGCGCGGAATCGTCCTTCTCAAAGAAATAAGTTTTGACGGACGTCAATCAAGGCGTTTCCATGACATTTCATAAGCACGTGCCCTTGAAAAATGTGTATTCCGACAATGTCATGTAAACACTTTCATTGTCCAACAAAACCCTATTTTAACGCAACAGCAAATTGCACGACTTCTCGCGTGTGAATGGGAAGCAATGCTTGTTATTTTGAGAAAAGTGGTTTTTCTATTACCAGGTCGAAATGACATGAGAATGCCTTGTTTTACGAAAATAAATAGGCTTAAAATAAATGTAAAAGACTATCTGTACTTGTGTACGTTAATATGATCATCTTTGTGCCGCTAGTAAAATCTACACAGACTTAAAAGATCCAAGGTGATCTTGCACAAGTTAAGACAAGCACAAAGAACAAACCTGCATTGTTCGTGATCTCAATTCCAGCGGCGCCTCCGTCGTAAACTCTGTTGTTTCTGAGCACAGGGAAGCTCGAGGTACTAATCAGCACACCTGACGAAAGAAATGAAACATTAAAGCTATTTTCTTTCTTGTGAGACCTTAGAAGAATACAGTAGATAGCTAGACTAACCTTTGAATTCAAAAAGTAAAATAAGTAAAATTCTCGTGAAAAACTAAAGTATTGTATTACACACACAGTTGTAACTAGAGACCGCTAGTCATTAACATTTCAAAAACTCGGACTATTACCTGTTAAGTTGTTTCTAAAAATTTCATTTTCTTCTAAAACACCTGGAGAGCAAACGAAGAGGTTTATGATTTTAGTATTGGCAATAAATGAATATAGCAAAAGACAGGGCAGACAGACAGGCATGTAGGGAAGGAGGCAGGAAAGAAAAGAAAGGGAGTGGAAAGGGAGTGGAAGAGAAGGAAAGAGTAATGTAAAAAGAAAAAAATTGAAGGAAGGGAAAGGCATGAAAGAAAAGAAAGGAAAAGGTTGAAGATGCAGTAGTACTAATCAATGAATATATCAGACAGAGCAGACAGGCAGGCAGGTAGGATAGGTGGCAGGAAAGAAAAGGAGCGAAGGTAAAGGCAAAGGCAAGGGCAAGGGCAAGGGCAAGGGCA